TCCAGGACTGTTCAAGACACGTGAGTTACTGCTTCATGCATACATAAGTACCGAAAAACATTCAAATCCTTAACCACCTCTCCCGTACATAGATATCGTATTGCGCATGTCTTATTGATTTTAACGAAAGGTCTGTGCAGCGGCAGAGTCACTATGTTGTGAGCAGAAAACAATTGCGATTGGATTGACTCACTATTTATTCCATATTCTTTCTTTGCTATCATGCTCTTTCTTATCTGCTGCTTTAGAGAATAACTTCCGCACTTCCGTTTTGCTTTGCTTTCAGGTTAACTGAACAAAACACATGCTGCGTACCAAAGGTTTCAAAATAGGTGAAAACTTCATACGCACGCTTCGGTACAGGATGCTTCAGCAAATCTTCTGACTTCACCTTCATCAGTCTGCATGACAAGTGGAGAAATGAATCGACCCCTTTGATATTGCTGGTACCACACGATGCTATCTAATCTTAATAACACTGTTGTTATAGATCATTGATTCGTTCTACTCGGCAGTTGTCCTTGGCATTTGTCGGCTTTCTTTCGTTTCCACTTGCGAAGTTCCCCTTGAGTGGACACCGAGGAGACCCCAGCAATGAAAGAAAGACCTATCCGTAATGTGCAGCAACCGTGATAGAAAGCATTCGAAGGACCACAAGGACAGCTAAAGGAATCATAGTCCTTCGGGAGCAGATGTATGGCCCACTTACTGAAACTGGAAAAGAAATAAAATAACAAAAAATCTTCGCAGGGGTGCACTTAAAAAAGTTGCTGGCAAGTGACAGTTTTATGCAACAGTCAGCGCGAACGATTGCAGTTGGTGGAAAAGCTTACTAAGAATCGACTCATAAGAAACATGCAGTTCCTTGCAAAATAGGCGGGAGTGGTAACTGCAAAGACGCACATAACGAAATTACAAGAATAAGTTGGCACGCTTTGTGTAATATTACCACCAATGCATGCTGGGAAAGCTCGGAACCATCCTGAAAGGATGCGTCCAAAGGGCCTCTCCGGTTGAAAAAGGAAACCCTGCAGGTATCCCAATCGATACACAAAAACCGCACACGGTAAAATCAGATATGCGGAGAATGTTTGGTTTCGAGTACGGAGCAAACCCTGAGGTCGTTTATTTTCGGTCAAGCGCCGACGAAGAGTGCTTTTCCAGTCCAGGAGTTCCCCTTCCTTTTTGCCTTGGTGACTACTCCGCTGTCATCGTTCTTTGTCTTTCTACCTTTACGCATTCAACTTTTATATTCTGTTTTTGATCGCGGAGTTGCTCAATAAACAATTCTGTTTTCTGCTTGGCACATCTTGACGCCGATGAAGACCTACATACAAGGAGATTTTTTCCATAAATTACAGAAATATTCCTGGACTTTACAAACTTCTTCTGCTAGGTCTCCTATATGCAAAAGTACTCCACTGTAAGTGTACACTGTGAGTTTCCTGCTCGTTCCCATGAGGTTTATCGCGCCTACTTCTTTTGGCTCACAGCGGGAGCTTATCCCAAGAATGACATCTCAAAACTAACTTTATTGAAACTATCAGCTTGTTGCAATGTAGGCGCAGGTATTTATTTTGAACCCGTTTTGCTGCGTTTGAGTTTTCGGAGGCATCTGTGCATTTATTCGAAAGAGGAAATCCATTATAACAAAATCAACTATTTGCTGTCCATAACATTTCTTTACATTTCAGATTGCCACCCGAAATTCTCGGTTTAACACGTAAATGTTCTACCACATCTCAAGGAGCTGAATCCAATTCGAGCAATACCGGCAGGCTTTCATAAACAGAACACAACCTACATGAAACCGTGGCGACTCAACGAGAGAAAGAGCGAGAGACAACGGCGACCAAGGCGTATTTCACGTAAAAAATCACCACAGAAAAAACTGCGAGGCTTACTGAAAACCTTCGACTTATCCTCTGAACAGCTCCTGTCATGCTTCATCTAAGCGCTGCTTATCCGGGTCAAAGCGACACGTTGCGAAGAAGAAACGATCCTGAGACTACAAAAAACTCTGAACGAGAGAGTCCAGGCGCACAACTGCTACAGATCTCCGAGAAGAACGTCGAGTCTGCGTGAGGAATGACGAAACCTGGCACAATAATATAACACCTTTTTATCTCTCGTTCTGAGAAGCCGAAGTGATCCGTATCGAACGAATTTTATGAACATCTAAAACGACGTTCATAATGCAACAACCTAATATCTTATGCTTCATTCATTGGAGTCTGCCAAATGGTTGAGTTTAAAAAAGGTTTATTATACATGTAGGACTTCTCCAACAATAAAATCATGGCTGCGATACTCGAAAACACACCCAGACTTTATTTCATATATGGCTCACGTAGTACAAAGCAGAATATCTAGTTGGAAACGGTAATATCGTTTCATTGTTAATAGTCATTTATTTCGTCTTATTAGTTACGGGCACAACTTTGGAGAACACTTCGCTTGAAGGCGGCAATGGTAACAAGGTATCGTAATTCCTGGCCCAGGGACTTGCTACAGCTTTCTGAAATGCATTATATGATAGTTGCAGATCATAGTCTCTAACAAAGATGCCACCTACCTGATCCTTGGGCGGTCGAACCAGTAACGCCGTCTTCACCACCGAAGTGATCTTCGTTTGATGGTGTCTTTTTAGATGGGGTGACCGCGGGGGATTTAGTGGGTGCTGGCGGTGGGGTTGTTGCTTTGAGTTGAGGCTGAGTCGATTTATTGGGTGTGTTTTTATTCTGAGTAGCGGGTTTTGCTTGAGGCGCACTCTTCTTCTGAGGTGTGCTGACTTGGGTAACTTTAGCCTTTTGAGGCGTGCTAACTTGGGGCACTTTCGCTTTTTCTGGGGCGGTGACTTTAGGCTCCTTAGTTTTCTGAGGCGTGCTGACTTGAGGCACCTTCGCCTTTTGTGGTGCACTGACTTGTGGTTCTTTCGCCTTCTGTGGAGCGCTGACTTGGCATTCTTTCGGTTTCTGTGCTACACTGACTTGTGACTCCTTCGTTTTCTGCGGCGCGCTAACTTGGGTTTCTTTTGCCTTTTGCGGTGCGCTAACTTGGGTTTCTTTTGCCTTTTGCGGCGCGCTAACTTGGGCTTCTTTTGCCTTTTGCGGCGCGCTGACTTGGGGCGCCGTCGTCTTTTGTGCTGCAGTAACTTGGCTCGCCTTTGTTTTCTGTGGTGCACTTCTTCTCAGCGGCCGCGGGCTTCTCTTCCGGAGGTGACGGTGGGATTGCTGTTTCCAAATTGCCCAGATTCTGAAAACAGTGCTCATCAGATGAGCTACGTTTTTGTAGGTATGTGGCACACCTCGTAGTCGCCACCTGGCTCGATCGCAGTCTTCATGAGTGGATCCAGGTGCTGTAAATGAATATCTTATCCAGACTCGTTCTGAGGATTGTGGAAAATCATGACGTCATAAAAGCAAAGTCCGGGGTCACTGAGTGATCCTTATGGTAGGCTAATGAGCTGTTTGCGACGGTGGCCGATACCCCACTGACACCGCTTGCGGAGATAAGCCGTTTAGAAAGAGTGAGCACCCGAAGTAAGCGTAAATTACGATGTTCCTGCCGTAGTCACGTACAATGCGCGTCGCATCGACGCGCTTTCTGGATGACAGTCCTACGGATTTGCCAACAATGAGGCTACCCCTGCTCTCCAGGGTAGCAATCCAAAAATGGAGGAGCGTCGCAGCGTTTGCCTCTCGCCGCTTGCGCGGGAAAGCTGAACGCTGCGCGACGCTTCAGCGCGGTTCAAGGGAGGTCATCCCCGGGTGCCGCCCCATCCTACGCGAGGCCAATCTGACATGCGCGCCATCCTCCACCTCCTACATGAACGGCGCTCAGTATAGTTGGCGAGTTTGCTCGACGCATTCTCTCTTCGTTGAGAGAGCGCAGAAAACGAAAAGTGGGAGGCGAGCACACGCTTCAGCGCGTCAATGCGTCGCGCATTGTACGTGACTACAGCAGAACATTATAATTCACGCTTACTTCGGGTGCTCGCTCTGTCCAAACGGCTTAAGTCCAGCTTGAGCGAGCGCGATAAGGGTGCTATGACATAATTGATGCTTCCGATTATCGGCCGATAGTTTCATGGGGGCAACTGCAACCGCACCTCATCTGCGCCGTCCTCATGGCATGCACTCTTTTTCTGTCTTTCTGTCTCTGCTACCTCCAAATCCCCGTCATCCACAATTCAGTCCACTCGAACTTTAAGGGCCTGTATTTTTGTGGTTTCTTACGCGCACTTATCTGCTTTACTTTTCCGCCGATGCTGCTTTCCCTCTCCTCGTTCATGACTGAAGCAGACTTCTCACACAACACCTATGCCTGGCTTGACTTCAAAGGAACAGCCTAAACGCACGGTAAAACGCACAATGCTAATATTGTTGTTGTCGAAGAGGAGCTACGACGGGGCGTCAAGAAAGAACATCGTGCTGAACAACTGATGGTCTGCAAGCGCTAAAGCCGGAAAAACCTTCCACCATTCCACGGATGACTAAATGGTAGCACCTTTGCCATTATGAGGGATGAGGCAGTGTTCTGCTCCAAATGGTAGAGAGGTTGTCACACACAGACACACACTGCTTCATCCACTTCACTTACAAGGGATTCTTTCTGCTGTAATAAACGCCCAAATTCAACAAGTAACCTACTTCTGGTGGTCCGCTGTCCAACGTCATCTGATAATTACGTGGAAGTTGTGGAATCTGCGGTGCCTGCGGAGCTTCAGTCGTCATATTAGCGCCCTCTCCGGTGAGAAGGTTCTAGTAAAAATGAACCACACCCCAATGTTGAGGTACAGGGATATCATTGATACGGCAGGTTCATTGTTGATGGTCGTAGTGCGACTAGGCGATCAAGTGAACGGGCGAGCGGGTCAATTAGGCGAGAGAAAAGTGGACGATAAGGGAAGGATACGTATTGATTTTTTGCACCGCCCATTGATCGATCGCCTAATCGCCTACAAGGCTCCAGAGCAAACCAGTCAATACGTATGCAGTCTTCCATGCCTAATAGCCTACTCGCCTAATCGCGCGTACGATCGCCAACTATGAACACTTCAATAACGTGAGAACACCAATACTAGGGAAGCACATTGTACTACGTAATGATTGGTATTGCTTTATGAATATTTAGGATTTGAGAGGAGGAGGGGGTGCGAGGGATCCTCACAACTTATAGCGCATGACTGAGACTGCACGGTTAACCACTTTTTGAAGCTGCGCCATAAAACGTGCTCACAAATCTGGGGTCACATTCTAGATCGAAGTTATGTTCGGCCACGCGAGCACCCCATCCCTGCGAGTAGTCGATTGATGTCTTATTTGGAGGTACCACTGCGAATCGCTTCAATTCTCAAGCCAGTGCCCCGCAGTTTTTCAAAGGAAATTTTGAACCCAGCGCCTGAAGATGCATCTGCCGTTGTATCCCTCACTGCCAAACGACCAGTTGAACTTTACGTGTTAGTGCCACCACCCCGCATTTACTTTAAGTTTTGTACAAGCCTGCAGCAAAATGGCACTGGAATGAGAAAGCTGGCCACGAAGAGAAGAACAGAGCTTGGAGATGAGCATGGCAGAGACCAGGGTGAATATCGCTTGAGGATTCCTCAACGGCACGTCGAGGATTCTCTGCCCGATCAGACACGATCTCTCGCGCGGACATTCACACTCGCCATGCGCGTGCCGTCTGTGCTCTCCGCGCGGATGTTCACTCTCGGCACTACTCTCGCATGGTAGAGAGCTATGGTCGAGGAAATCCTCGACCGTTATTCACCCTGGCAAAGACCCCATCCCTGGCGTCAGCCCAAGGTAATGTATGTAGTGTCATGAAGTTCGCACAAACAGTGTTCATTTCATTCAGTTCTAGTTTCCATTTTTTGCAGCGAAGATGTCGGACTGTAGGCAAAACAAAACAGAATTCGAAGTGGCTATACCTCAATCTTAGCTTCTTGAGAGTCAGCATTGTTCATTCTGAATGGTATGATTATTATTCGTCCTCCCAGAGGAATCGAGTAAACTAACTGCAGATTCTTAGGTTTTGCAGTGAGTGACCGCTTGGGCGATGGAGGTCGTCTACCAGACCATCACAGAATATGGAAGATGTGAACAGGGCTTACTCGTTGAGCCGACATGCTTCGGCAGAGGAAAGTAGATGGTTCAAGTGAATTGTAGAAGCAAATGTCGAGCAGAGGTACTATGATAATTCTCAAAGACTAACATCGCTAATTCTCAAAGACTAACATCATTCGCATCGAAGGGTTGCGTCTTGTAATTTGTAGCCTGTCTTTTGCTTCCTGGACGTACATACTACCTTCAGTATTTTGGATCTTAAAGCAACAGTCCAGGCAGGGTTTCAACTACTTGGTCATTAGGCGGTCAAAACATGCCCCAGCCCAACTAAAGTTTATAGGAAATGTCTTTAATTTCAAAACCTACCTCTAAAATGCGCTGGAAGGGGTCGAAGTCCTCTTGGAGGGGGCGGATCACCCATAAAGAGGCGGATCGCCCAACATACGCTGTGCAGAGCGCGTGCTCGACTAGCGGTCGTTGCGGGACCGCCGCGCTGTATGAGGTCGATTCCATAAGAACGCAATTGAAGCGCTTCAATTACGATTGCTGGCAAATAGCCATGTATTTGCAACCCGCATGCTACTGCCAGCAGTGCTAGTTGCAGCGCAATGTACTTGGCGGGATGTCTCGGACAACTCCGTCCAACACACTCTCCCCATGCTTACAGCAACAGTCCACAGGGTTCACACTGGTCATTAGGCGGTCAAAACATGCCCCAGCCCAACTAAAGTTTATAGGAAATGTCTTTAATTTCAAAACCTACCTCTAAAATGCGCTGGAAGGGGTCGAAGTCCTCTTGGAGGGGGCGGATCACCCATAAAGAGGCGGATCGCCCAACATTCGCTGTGCAGAGTCGTGCTTGACTAGCGGTCGTTGCGGGACCGCCGCGCTGTATGAGGTCGATTCTATAAGAACGCAACTAACGCGCTTCAATTACGATTGCTGGCAAATAGCCATGTATTTGCAAGCATGCATGGCTATTTGCCAGCAGTTGCAATTGGAGCGCATGTACTGCGGGCAGGTTCGGACAACTCGTCCAACACACGTCTCCCCCATCGCTTAAAGCAACAGTCCAGGCAGGGTTTCAACTACTTGGTCATTAGGCGGTCAAAACATGCCCCAGCCCAACTAAAGTTTATAGGAAATGTCTTTAATTTCAAAACCTACCTCTAAAATGCGCTGGAAGGGGTCGAAGTCCTCTTGGAGGGGGCGGATCACCCATAAAGAGGCGGATCGCCCAACATTCGCTGTGCAGAGCGCTTGCTCGACTAGCGGTCGTTGCGGGACCGCCGCGCTGTATGAGGTCGATTCCATAAGAACCCAATTGAAGCGCTTCAATTTCGATTGCTGGCAAATAGTTATGTATTTGCAAGCATGCATGGCTATTTGCCAGCAGTCAACTGGAGCGCATGTACTACGGGCAGGTTCGGACAACTCGTCCAACACACATCTCCCTAAACGGCCGGGGGAGTCCCTGTCTAAGCCCCTGCCCGACGTTTTTTTCTACTTTTTCTTTCTCCATTGACCAACTTCTCACCTGCAACGTCATTATAGGTGGTCCTTACCCGCGAATTCGTTCCTGGATTGTTGCTTTAACCGGGGAGTCCCTGTCTAAGCCCCTGCCCGACGTTTTTTTCTACTTTTTCTTTCTCCATTGACCAACTTCTCACCTGCAACGTCATTATAGGTGGTCCTTACCCGCGAATTCGTTCCTGGATTGTTGCTTTAAGAATCTCCGCAAAAAATGCTGTAATTCAATAACCACATGAAAATGTAACATGAAATCAATTCTCTATCCTGCCGATCATGGGAATGTATCAGTGCTGGTTTAATCCTCCCACCAAGGTGGGGACAATATCCCTCTCAATATATGGGTTTTCAACCGATACAGTTCTACCACTTTATCATGTTTATTTTGACCTACACACATTCATTAAATGTAGCTTCTTTAACAGACCAATCTCAGTCGTGCAGAGGGATAAAGGAATTTTCTTCACTCCCCCCATCCCATCTCCTTGAGAGAGTTTGAGTCCGTTCCTGAACAGAATGCCCGATTAATATTGCCGAGCTCATGTGAGTCCTGAGTAAAATTTTTGGTCATCGGCGAATGTTCTTTCATCGAGCAAAGCCCGAAACTCATCAGCCGCTTAGAATTTGAATTTCAATGTACGTACCCGAGTGCGGTCGTCCGACTACACACAGTTAAAACGCGTTCGGTATCATCAGCGCTCAAATGTTTTCCACGTCCATTTCGGGGCAGGGCACTCTTTTA